CCCCCGCCGCAGCCCGGCGGCCGAGGAAGCTCCTCCGGAGGCCTTTCTTCGAGTCTCGTGTAAAATACTCCACGGGGGTACCGCCACTGTTCGTGGACAGGTCAAAAGGCCCTTAACGAGCAGCACGAATTGCAGCGAGTTGTGAGGTGGAAAGGCCTTGCACCATAGGGTTTGCCTTTTCCTTGTTTTACATCCAGTGATTTTTCAACCCAGAAAAAGAAAAGAAATGCTGTTCTTTTTGAAGTTTATTGTGCAGTATGTTTTGAGTAAAAAGCAAGACATGAAAATGAAATAAAGTACAAAAATAAATACACTTTTATAATGATATTACAATTCCACACAAAATAAAAAGATAAATATGTATAAATACAAAACATCAAGTACAAAAACAAATTCTGGCACTTGTCAAGAGAAAGGCCACGTGAAAGTTAAAAATAAAACATTGTAGCATGAGGGGTTATTACACATACTGGAAGCATGCTTAAAAGTAAAAGGTTGAGATGTGAAACCTGAACAGACGGTAAGCGTTCATTTTTACTAACACTTAAACTAAAGCTATTTTTACATCAACATATCACCTATGCTAACGATAAATACAGCACATAAAACATCCTTTAAAAACATTTATCTTTAGCACTGCTTTATCAACAGCACATTTTGTCACCTGTGACACAGGTTACTCTTGCCATTGTAAATTTTTTCCCCCCTTGAGGTGTTTTCCCGGCTGAGCAGGAACCCTGCCTTGGGCGTTTTTTGTATTGCGGCTGACATTTTAAAGATCCATAGCATTTGTAGGAAGGAGGCAGGTCCTCCATCGGTGTAAACTCTTACATTTACACCATTAGGGGAACCCCCCCCCAGCTTTCAAATAAATCCCACTGTAAAGAGCCACCGAGCATTCCTCAAATTGTTTAGGCAGCATTTTTTCCTTTTTAATAAGTATGCAATTTGGGTAATTCACTGCATGGTATAAAACACTTGTTTTGAACAATGTCACTAGCTGCAGAGGACAGACTTGGTGGTCGATAAAAGCCACAACTAGTTCCACAAGCAAGCCAATTCACTCATCGCTGCTCCTGAAGACACTCCCCTCATCCGACCATTCATGTTCCTCTTTCAGGCTGTTTAACACAATGAAATTTTCAGTCGCTCTTTTTTCTCTTATATCCGTGTCAACATGTTACAAAGCCTCCAAAGTCAGGGCGTTACCTTGTATTGCTAGTGGGGGAAAGCAACAGAATATAACCCATTCCACATTCCAGTAGTCGGTTCTCTACTAGTACTGTTACAGAGCAAAACAGTATGCACTGCGAAGACTTACATAGCCAAGCTTTCCTCTATTGAAGGTTAACATCATGTCTCAAGTTCATTAAAAGACAGAAGTTACAGAATTCTGCTCCCCTCAAGTTGAAGGATAATATCAATCAGTAGGAAGACCAAGGTAAAAGATGAGCATGGTCTTTTAATGTTAGATTTCCATAAATATTAGAGTGTGTGTGCTGGGCTTAGGTAGGGATTTTTTTCCCCCCTGAAATCATGATTCCGGTACAAGGGCCTGTTAGATCACGGTAGAAGAGAAGCTGCTCAGAAAAACTGCAATTTTCATCAACAAAACATAAGATATCTGAATTATTATTATGGACAATCATTTGTAAGTCTGAAATGGTAAAACAATTAAAATCTTGCCTTCCAAAATTTTTGTAGAACATACACTTCATTTCAGCCAAAAGTTTTTTCTGTAAGAAAATGCAGTAGACAGCAAGGAAAAAAAATCCTAGGACTCTTCCAGCACAGTAGTTTGACCTACCACATGTATAAATGCGCGGTTTCGGTATAGTCATTGAAAGTACGTCTGCCTGCCCAGCAGTTAATCTGGATCCATCTCTGTCCAACTCGGCACAAATGCAAAACATTTAGGCCATTAGTATTTAAACTGAGGTAATCTCATTCATACAGAAAGTACATTCAAAAAGGCTGCTGACAAATTCACTGACGGAAGAGCTCAGTTTTGTTTGAATTATTTTTTTTTCTTATTTAACTGCTGTAACTTCAGGGTATGAAACTAAAAATATATACACACAACTTATTTATGGTGGCAATCATACACAGACATTGCAATTTTAAGGAATGCAAAAAGCATATGTCAGAGACAAGAATGAGAGTGTGTGAAAAAGTCACACATGAACTTACTGTTGCCCTACGGTCATCTTTAAATAAACAAGATTATGACTCTTATGTGTACACAGGAGTATGAATATGTAAGTTTTAACATGCAATTTTTCCACAAGTATTAGAGCTTCACAGCCCTTTATTACTTCAATATGATTGTATTAATGTGTCATTGTCTGGAAACGAGAAAGTATGTTTACCATTTCTAAATACACATATACATACAGAAGATGCAATATTGGAATCAGTGCTGAGAATGCCATCATTAAAAAATAGCCATTTTATCCCAGCGAGTGCTGTCTTCTTAAATTGTCACAACATTTGGCTTCTTTCTTTGGGTTCTTCCTGCATATGCTCCTAAAAATTACGTAGAAACATTAGCATTTTACAATTAGTAGCACTGGTTTTTGTAACAGGATTATCCAACAAAAATACCCGAAAATGTTTAGGACCATTTTTTTTAAGCAGTATTATATATTCAGTGTCTACTTTTAAAATGGCAGTTTTCATAATGTTACACCCAAAACACCTTACAAAAACTACCTATAGGTTTGAAAGTAACGACATTTTATAGTATTTCCTTCCTCGGTAACTATTCCGTCTTCTTTTCTGCTACTCTACAACATCTACAACTACAATTCACAAGTTCTTAAAAGTCTGTCATATCACCAAGACAGAGATTAAATGACCGATAAGTTTAACTATGCCATGTACTACTTTTAAACAAACTATCAATTAAAAAAATATTACACAAGTCAAATATTTAAGAGAACTCTTTCCTTTTCCCCAGCTGCCACATTAATAAACCAAGAGACAGGTGTAGGTTTCCATATCTCGATATACACAACCAGAATTAAAAGTGCAGTATGAATAAGGTCAGCAGGCAGAGCCCTTATAAAAGGAAAGCTGCTCAAGTATAAAAATAATAAATAAATAAGTGACATATCTCCACATGGAAGAAATATATACACACATATATATATATTTAGAAAGCCATATTATACTATGCATAGCAAAAGGATCTTCCAGTAATAAGGGTTTAGCGCTGCAGGCTGCTAAAAAGTAGCACAACTCCGCATTCGTTAGGTTCAGGCAGTTATTGAGCGTCCAGCAATGTGAGCAAACATTTATACAAAGCCGTGAAAATCATACCACGTGGTGCAGAGCAGTGGAAATGGAAGACAGCCATGGAAGAGAAATGATTACCAGGCAATTGAATGAACGTGACGAAAAAGTGCCAGTCCTTTTTAGGATCTTCAGTTACTCTCTGTCAGAGTTGCAGTGGTTACTTACAGGTGTCCAAGGGCTACGTTCAGCACAGTGCAAAGCAGCTTTGGAAATGCCCCCCGAGACTTTACCGCAGCAGGATCCCTCACAGCTGAACATTGCTTCCCACTACACAAAAGGCATTCTGGCTGGCCCAGCACTCTCCAGTGCTGCACCCTTCAGCTCACCTGCGATCTCGTAGGACAAACAACCAGGCTGACAGGCATGATGCTTTATTAGTGACTTAACACTACCTCTTAACTCTCCTCAACTGCACTCCAAGTTACGTAAAAATCTCACCTAGAGAACAGGACAGTATAGGGAAGTGTAAAAAACCCCAGCAATCTAGACTAAGGAATTGAAGAAGCCAAATTTTATTAACAAGAGTTACGGTCCTTCTGAATACAATTATCACCCAACTTTTTCCAGTGGCAAGGGGAGCAATTACACAACGCCTCTCTCCTATGACATACGATTGACCGGCTACTCACACACAGCAGTCTGATGCCTTCCTGAAGTGCTGGCCTGAACGCTAACACGCCTCACAGCACACGCCATCTCATGCAGGCACCTGCTGCCCGCTCAGGCTGGAGAGGCATGCAGCAAAGACCATGCCTGGCCAAGTGCTGCTGCCACCCAAATACTCTATGTGCCTCATGCCCCGTATTTCTTTTCCACAACACTTAGACTGGGCAGAAACAAAGGAGATGAATGGGTCTGGTTGCAGCAGCTGCCTGATCTCAACCACTTTCTTTCTAACACAATCAGATCACATGAAATGCCCTGCCTGGCACAGCTTGGAGGCTACTGACTGAGCATCTCTGTCCTATTTAAACTAATAAAAAAAGAAACAACAAATAAGACTCTTTACAGATTTATTAGTTTGTACTTTTCTCTTTAGCACAGAACTCTGGATTGAAGGAGTACAAAACAACAAAACCTAAATTTAGGATCACCAGTTGATTCCTAAAAGAAATGCCTTCTTGCCAGAAAAAGACAACAATCAATCGGAGTGGTATTAAAGCTACAAAGCACTTTGCAGACAGAATTTTTAACAACAATCAGAAGAGTGAAAAAAAAGAAATAAAAGAACAAAGTAGTTGGATGAGTATGTTACTGTTTTCTTCTGAGGGTATGTCTCATGTCTAATTTGAATGCATAAGTGACATTTATGTATAATAGTTGTATTCTACTAACCCTCCTTCCCTTTTGCCCCTCTAATAAGCACAATTTAATTGGGAGTCAGTGATGAATGAAGACAAGAAATTAAATAGAAATATTATGGGTTAGGAGTATAGCAGACTGACATAGTTGCAGATATAAATAAAACTCTGTATTGACTAGACCAAACCACTGCTACAACTCTTCTGACATGCACAACTTCTACTAAAATAAGAGAAGCATATGCATTTGTTTGACTTTTTACATTTCCTTTTCAAATTGACACTTGAGATTATATTTTCCTCTGTTTCTGGTCTTTCCCAGACAGAACTTGTTGCCTCACTACAGATGACTTTCAAGGATCTCTCTTGAAAAGATACTTTATTACTTCAAAGAACAGATTTTAAAAAGTATATATTAACAAAAAACCCTATTCAACATACTGCCAAGCCTTTCACTATTCACATTTTATCCATATATAAAGAAAACCATGTTCTATTTAAATGTATTCAACAATTATGCAGATTATTTCTTTGATGCTGAGCATTCCCCATCTAATAATTTCAGAATGCATTTCTATTTAGCACAAGTTGCCCAACCTATTTATAAAGGAGCATACGGAAGTGCTGGTATTACGCCATGGGAACACAAGTGATGTCCAAACACTAAGCGAGGTTACGTTGTGCAACCAGAACTAGGCAGCATACAATTGGTTAGACACATCTGCTTTAAGTTCCAAGAAGTCCACTATAGAAGGCGTTAAATAGCTTTCAAGATACTCAGCAAGTAGCAATAAGGAAAGGCAAAGAGAAATGGAGAGATGTATGCCAAAGGATTCTTTTCATTGCCAAGTATCAACTGTCACGACTTAGATAACTACAACTAAGATAAACTCAGGGACTTACTTAGCAGAGCAGCACACGGTGCCAACACAGCAGAGTGAGAACGCTTTAACTGGATGTCTGATGCCAGACGCAAATGTAAAGAACACTGTAGATCATGACGACCTGAGCATGAATCATACGAGATTGGGGACGGCATCCAAATCTCAAATCACTGCTGAGCTTGACACTGACACCACCCTTACACTACTGCTCTTCTATAACTTCTGTCATACTGTAAGTGGTAGAGGACTTGATTGTTTTGCTGTCCCTGTTCTTCAGCATTCTCATTTACTAGTTAATACCAGACACATTTTTGCAAACTTGAAGGTGAAAACTTGCCTTAATGGCTACCTCTGGTTGCTGAAATTATATTGCTTACTTAATTTTCTTCTTTATATTTCAGAGAGGTTATTTACTACCTTTGCTAATTTTCCTGTAGTGTCACTGAGTGCAACTGAACAGCTGCCTTGCTCCACTTCAGTGGTGACAGCACTGCCAGGAGAACTGGCAACAGAAAAATAAATGAACAAACCTTGATTGTAATCTCATCACTCCCTTTTCTGTTTTGCCCTCTTTTTTTTTTTTTTCCTCTCCTTCTTCAAACTGAAACGCTACAGATGTGTATGGCTTCACAAAGTACTACGAAAGAACCAAACACTCCGGGGAAACATCACATTTAAACAGTGTAGACGCTGCGCTAAAACGCGCAGATGCTCCCTGCCAGCATTGCTCCAGGGCAGTAATAAATGGAGAATTTCCCTTATAGGAAAGATTTGATACTTAATACATAAAGATAATTCAGATCACTATGGAAAACAGTTGAAATCCTACTACATTATAATTTGCCTTATTGAGCCCAAAAATTTCCAATTTTTATACTTGACTTGTGGAACTCTGCTTTGAGAACAAAGTGTAAGTAAGATCTTAAGCAGTTTTAGAACGTGTAAACCACTTTACCTTTTGATAAATTAAGGTTGTCACTTAAGAAATTTAAAATCTGATTTAAAAAATGGAAATTGTATAAGATGTTTCATAGTGTTTTAGTCCTTTCATGGCTGAACGGGCTGAAAACTGAGAGGTTTTGCACTATTATCAAACCTTTCTAATAAAAGGTAACCAATCAGTAATCTCTGTATGCAAGTACAGGAATACTCCACTTTTAAAATTGGGTCATTAAGACTCAAACATTCTGTAAGATACTGCAGTAATATATATAATTTTAGGACTGTATGACAACTGAATAATGTTGACCGATAAGTCTGAAACTGCCCTTCCTGCCCTTTCAATAGGCTTCGTGTTGAAGATGAGTTACATGTGTGTACAGAACTAAGAATCAAATGACATTAAGATTCTAATCCAAGTCTAATTTGACTACTATTAGCTTCTCAAACAGTTGCAGCAAATATATCTGGCAAACTTTTTTTATGACTGGGCATCTGGTGAGTGAAAGCAAATGAGCTGCACAGTACATTCTATATACTATGTTTATAGAATTTAAAAGTGGATGGTTAAGTTACCAGCACATGTTTGTTTAAAGAGATAGGTTAGATTCAAGACATAGCAAAGCAGGTGCACAAGAAAAGGAAAGCAATATATCCCCCATTTACTTTTTCTAGATACTTGTAACTTATTTACTATAAGATCCAAGCACCAATTTTCTACACACCTGAAACAGCCTTGTTAGACACTCTGCTCTCTGGGGCCTTCTTTCTATTTTGCTCAACCCCCTTCATTGAGGTCTTAGGGGTTCTAATTAAATATAAAAGAGTTAATAAGTCACTTGCATCAAGGTTGAAAGGCTGTATCCAAAAATATAAAGATACTATCAAACTGTGTTTGGCATGAAAACATTTTTTACAGTGTCCCACAGAGCTTCCTCCTGAGTATGTGTACAATTCTTGTTGACATTATTATGGCTTAAGTAGATATATTAAATAGGAGAACATCTCCCCATGAACAGACTTTTAAAACTGTATTCAAGAAACCGATTCAGTTCAGATACTGTGACATTACAGTCTACATTTAGAAATATACATATTTCATTAAGTGGAAGCAAAGCTTCATGGAATGAATGTTACAAATAGAAATGTCGGAACACAGTGTAAATGGCGACAATACACAAGAGGATGAGAACACTAAATATTTTCTTGCAGTATAGGGTAAAACAAAGCTTCATCACTCTCTCAAAATCCTGTCAGAAGTAATTATTTTTACTTTGAACAAGAGTTGCACCAGTAAGTGTAAATATTATTGAGAAATCACTGTGCTCTTGCACTTTGCATTTAATTTTCATCTTTAGGCTATGAACATGCTGTGCCCTTACCCTTGTCTGCAAAGCAGTCTATGAACTGGGGCATTCTGTCCTTGATTTGGTTGAAGTACGCTGTTAAAATACAAACTTTTATTAGCGCTTCTTCTCTTAAAAAAAAAAAAATCTCATAAGCAATACTGAAGTATGCATCATGTTTCACATAACAAATTTCAGAAAGGCTAACAGGTTCTGTAATGCAGATGACATGTAGGCAAAAGTGGCAGGAAGTATTGAACACTGTAATTTCTATGATCTAAGCAAACAATCGCACAATCTAGAAGCAGGAACTTTTCCTCACAACAGAAAGCCACTTCTTTTCTGACAGCTTTCTAAAGATAAGCCTATCAGTGACTACATTTTAAAGTAAAGGGTATTAAGAAAAGTAGTAATGTCAAACTGAAGTTTACGAGATACTAATATGTCAGAGAAGAACCTTGAACCTGAGCACAGAGATTTAAAGCCATAAATAATTAATTTCTGAAGATAACATTTCAGAACTGACTCTGAAGAAAATAAATATTTTCTATCTTCTAATGAGCTAATAAACCTCTTTCTCAGACCATGCTAAATCAGATTTCATTACCGTCCATCATAATAGTGCCAGGAATTGAGCTGACTAATGGCAAACCACCAACGCAGATCAAAGAATCTGTCATTATAAGACAGTTCTTTAAAAGCATCCTAATACAAGTAAACTTCACTCACCGGCTTTCAGGAGTTTTTTGTTTTATGATTATTTTTTTACTTGGTATTCCCATTTCTGAAGCCCTAGAGAAACAAAAGTATTGAAACATATTTAAATTATAAAATCATCATCTAGGTCTTAAACAGAAACAGCAAGAGAAAACCTACAACAGGATCTACATCGACATGTAATACTGCCAGAGCAGTACTACAGATTATCACCTTTTACTCATGAGCAAGTGTAACACAACTGTTCAGTCCACTGTGTTGCAGGATAATGCCTGCTATCATCCCCCCCAAACTTTGCCAGATACTCTACCAAGTATCTCTATTGCTAGGCACTTTAAAAAGACTGATAAAATAACTTGGAGCATTTTTCACAATTCACAAAGTCAATCATAAACTAAGTGCACAAGGATCATTTTGCTCACCACTGAAATATAGCGTAAAAGCACAACTTAGAACAAACATTTTTCTCCCATATAAACAAAAGCCTCTTAAAAGTAAGAGCAAACTACTATTAGTAAATCACCACACACCTGAAGACTTTTTTTATTCATCCTTCCTAGGCGAGGTACTGGTTTGCAAAGAAGCTGTTACTCCAAAAACTTCTTTTCACTATTTCCAATGCCTCCTACCCATCCTCTTGCACCCCACCCCCCACCACCACAAAGGGAGAACTGCACATACTTCATGTACTTTTTCCTGTCCAGAGATTTCTGTGTAGCTGTTGAAAGTGTCGCTCTCTCTCTTGGGCTCTTTACTTTATCCTAAAAAAGCAAAAGAACCGACAATAACACTAGTTACTGCTCTTACTGAGCTTAACCCCATCTGACCTGCCCCTACTTAAAAAAAAAAAAAAACCAAAAAACCACACCAAACAAAAAAACCCCACAACCAAAAAAACCCAAACAAAACCAACAGTGTTTTCAGTACTAAGTTCACATTCAGGCTAAACTCAAGGGTGTTTTTCTTTTTTAAAATTAAAGGATCTTCCTTATATTATCAGATTAAATATATTTGTGTGCCATAATGAATTCTTATTTAAAGTACGAACTTTTTGTTATTACTTTCACCATGTTTTTCATTCTATTTTTTATACATCTACACACTAGAAGTTTCAACATATCAATCTCCTACTGCGGTGACCTCTTTTTTTTTTTATTTTAAGAAAGTTACCTAAAGAAGCATAACTAAACAACAATTTAGATTTTAAAAACTTTTTGCTTTTAAGACATTCTTCCTCACCCAGTAAAATGATTCAGTACTTCAAGTCTTAAAACACTTTACATTCTCTTGACTATAACACACCATTTGCCTGAGCATCTTCTCTTTACGGACTTCACGATCATGACGCAGAATATTCATTCTTTCTGATGCCTCCATTGTGAAAAAGATGTCATGGATGTCATACAAAGCAGCTCGCAGCTGGAAAGAATAATTAAAGTTTTAATAAAATATTCAGTCAAGGTAAAATTCCCATGGTTTTGATCATCAAGCTCTTCTTGCTTTCAATCTAAACAAAACACTTGAAAAGATAATTTTGAAATCTCTCTTAATGCATCATCACAAAAATGGAATCTTCTCTTCACAGCCATAGTTTAAACCTTTTACTTTAAACAAAGTCACAGTGAAGGTTTTAGATATTTATATTACAAAAGCAGAATAGCTAGGAAAGAAGAAGAGAAAAAGGTTTAAACTGTGTCACCTGAGCCATTACTCTTTCATGAAGGGATGCATCCTGTGCTGAAACACTTCCTCTCTTTAATGGGGCTTCAGACTGAAAATTTTTTATGAACTCCATAGTGTCCTGGGGAAGACAGGAAAATAAGACTAAGCACCAAGCATAATCCTTCACAACAAAGGAATCATTACAAACTGTACGCGTAGGATGTAGTCTTTGTTTGACTCGGACCCCATGACACTAAGCAATGCAACACTCACACATTCATGTGACAGACGCTTCCAAATTCTTCTGAAAGCAGAAAATACATGATTTCACCTGTCAGTTGAAGACAGGAACAAAAGCAAACAGGAGGAGAAGCTGCATAATAAAAATGCTGATCTTACTTTTACAGTTTGCTTAAGATGTTTCAGTTTTTCTGTCTGCAGGAGTCTACGAGTGAGAAACCCCTTTGCCACAGCAGTGATCTTATCGAACTTCATTTGTATCTCTGGACTGAAAACCTTAAAAGAAAAGAAGCACCTTCTAAACATTCGATAAAGCAGCAAGAATTATGAATTATTTCTCAAATAACATGAATCATATGACATAAGTTTTCAAGTAAGAAACAGGCTGCTGATAAAGTTTTGGCTAGGCCAGAAGTCCCCATGATAATATTAACTTAGCAGAAGCAATATATTGTTATATGATTATTTTGCATATATGAACGAGAAAAATATCCTACTGAAGTTGATATAGGAAGGGACAGCAAACTTCTCTGTGAGATATATTACTGCACAGCTATTATAAAGTTACCAGTGTCTTACAAAAACTAGAGGGCTTTTTAAGCTATAAATAAACCTTTTTTTTTCCTTACCTGAGTCCACCTAGTTTTGATCCTGTTACTTGGCCTAGATACTGAGGTTTTTATAACTCCACCACCTGACGGTCCCCAGAGAAAGAATGAAGTTTCACTTGTTGAAGCAAAGGTGTCAGGTGTCGCAGTATGAGCAAAACCTGCACGCAGAGCAGAACATACAGTTCAGCACACAGGCTTTGTCCATAAAGTAATGACTATGTGTGCGTATACACATATATACTGAGATATATACACAAATACACAAATGCAGCACTCCATAAAAAAGAACAAATGCAGATAAAAATCAAGCACATACATAAACTTTAACTCTGGTTGCAGTCAGGAAGCCTTTTTGGGCTTAAGACCAAAGAAGCTCCCAGTGCTGTTAGCTATTCTTATGCAAATTGCAGATCATAATACTTGCACATTGGGAGGAAAAATGTCCATATGCTACAGCATGAAAAATCACTTACCTAATGTTAAAATTTCTACAGAAAATCTTATTCACAAAGCATCTCAAATAAAACGGTTTTAAAGTGTTTAATGTTGCTGTTATGGATCCTAAAGATTAATAAGAATAATCATATAGTTCAGCAATTTTACTCTCAAATGAAAGTTCCTTTGCAGTTTGCCTATTGGAATACCCAATTTCCATCTGTGTTTGGTAACTGCATGTTAATACACTCAAGAAACAGAACTCAGCTCAGAGGTAGCAGCTTTGTTTACAAGGTCAGTTATAGGCAAGAAGCAATCTGAATATTTCTGATTCATTTCCTAGCAAAATTTGCTAAACAGAAGACAAAACAAAACATTTCAGTGTTCTGGAACAGGTGAGAGGCATTCCGTCAGCTATTGCTGTACTTCCTTGCAGTCAAGACCCCTTGGCAGAGCCCTTCTCATCCTCCTACACAAATGAGAACACCCGGCCCGCTGCTGCGCAGCTATACGGAATGAGGATGAACACCCTGTAACAATTATATACAAATGCAATACATGGAACAGTAAAAGGATGGCTGAAACTGTGCTAAATGCCAGCTAGACACAGATGCAACACAGAATTTGTTTTACATATGCTGTCAATAGCTGAAGGCAGCAGCTGTCCGCGTAGCCTGACCAACAAGTGCCCTAGGACAGGAACAATGCATTTATCAGTACAGCGGGGTAGCTGGTCCGGTTGAGCACTGCAGAGCAAAATATATCACAACATTTAATCTACATTCTACCCTCTCAGTTTTACCAATGCTGGTAGCGTTTGCATTATGGACTGTCTCCAGCTGAGACTGCACACTTTCCAGCAAGCCACTCTCGCTTTTTTTCCTCCACTCCAACTCCATCCTACTGTTAATATTCACTTTGGAAATTTCTATTTCTGTTGTAGCAACCTTCTTTCCTTTCAACTTTCTCTCTTGCTCTTCCAGTTCCTACAAAAGAGAGAATCAACTATAAGACTATTTTTCTAACTCTGCAAAGCAATACAATAGACGTTTTAAAACCAACTGCTTCCTGACAAACTGCAATACAACATACGTGACCTTTGCTTAGAATTTTTCCTCTTTTTACCTTACCTTCTGCAATTTCTCCTGTTCTCTCTCTTGTTCAGCTATCAGAATCGACAGTTGTTGTGCATGCTGTTCCTCAAGTCTCTTCCTCATTTCTTCAAAGGCCAACATTTTAGTTTTTACAATATCTTCTGAGAAGATACATTACAAAAATCAAGCATTAAATATTTTCTGTATGATCTTTGCCACAGACATACATGCTTTAAGCAGGAGTAATTTGCATCATCAGTAAAATGTGCAACGTATCTTTGATGTCAAGTTTCCATTATGTATTGCAAAGAACCTCGATATCAAGTTCCCATTATGTACTGCAAAGAACCTCATCAGTTCCTACAGTTCTTCAAAATATTTGCATGTTCATAGTTGTGGGATAAGCACATGAATGGAACAGCAGTAACACCAACTGAGCCTCTATTAAAATCAGGACATAAAAAATCTAGCTCTGAGAATAGTATACCTACACTTGCTTCAGTGAATTAAAATTATTTATGCCATTTTAGCTTGATTTGGTAGAGACACATACAGATTTAACAGTCTTGAACTGGAAGAAGATACCTATGTAATGATTTGCAACCCGTTAAAAGGTATTTTCTTTTAATTTACACATGGTATCTGTTCTTTTAGTAGTCTCATTTAGACCTAATGGAATAAGACATTATTTCTAAACCCATATTTCTACACTCAAATGGGAAATTAATATTTTTGGTGTCAAATGATACCCTTGAGAATAAATACGGAGTTCACAAAACTGATAAACAATGTTTTAGCTGATGCTTCCTTATAAATTGTTTAATCAAGTATTTGTTACAAATAGCTGTTATAAGACTTTTGACCCCAAGTGACTCCTAAGACAGCAATTACGTCATGCTGTAGCAGTTAAAAATAGCTTAAGTAGCGAGCTGAATTTCAGAATTTGTCATTAATTAAAAATTAGAGAAATAATGAGATTACTGAAAAAAAGATAATTTACACTCAATAAAATTTTAGCCTTTTAATCTATATCCATGTTTAGAACCACCAATGACCAATGATCATTGGGGTCTTTCCTAAAAGATTTATAAACCAAGAAGTTTAAGAAAAACCATCAACTACAGGAAATCTTTTACCTTTTGCCATACTATCAGGGGCTGCATTCTTGGTAATGTAAACTGATCTCACAGGATATTTCTGTTCTTGCAACCACTGCTTCTCTTGTTCTTCCATTCCAACTGTTAGAACACAGGGATTGTTTTCTTTTTGGCAGTTGTCGGTGTCCAAATCAAGTCTACGTTTTACCTTTTCAAAACTATTTTCTAGAAACTGCTCGTTTGCTGGGGAAACACTTGGAGTGTCCATCTGCTGTCGCAGATTCTTGCTCTGCATTAGTAGCGGGGATGGGTTTTCTACGTCGTAAGATTTATTGAGTTCTACTGGAGAATTACATTTAGTATTTTCTAGCAAACTGGACGGTTTGGTTTCATTCACAGCTAGGAGCTTCTGTGTTACTGTAGACTGACTGATGGCAAACGGCTCATTCAATTTTGGAGCTACAATATTAGCACTGGTCTCTACTTTATATGGCCCTCTGCTGTCCATCACTACCTGTCCTTCCACTGTAGCCGACAACGTTCCTTTGCTTTCAAAGTGCCCAAAGGAATGGCGATTTGGTTTGCCAACCCCCAACCCATCACAAGGGCCTGAAGAATTTCTGTTAACACCAGGAACTCTGCTAGGGCAAACCATAGTGAAGTCCACCATGAACTTCGGCACTGATTCAGACACATTATTTTTATCTGCAATATCTTGCATGATTAAATCCATCGCTCTACCCTTGCCTTTAGGACTTAACTCATAAGCATTCACAGGGTTATTTATAACAATGTGTCCCATTGATAAAGGTCTTGGGCGCCTTCGGTGCATTTTAGGGCTCATGCTTGGCTCTGGGCTCGGCAATTTGGCGTAAGAGCCTGTGAGGCTCCTGATAATGCTACTGTCACGATCAAACATAGAAGTCTTTTGAAATTCTTCATCTGAATCCGAATCCACCAATGGGGGTGTTCCAACTCTCATAGGTATGTCCACTTTAGAAAAACTGGATAAAGTTGACGTACTTGTGTTATTTGTATGAGTAGAGGCACCTTGGAGAAGGGTATTTGATTTATTAAGACTGGGTTTATCAAGTGTCACAGCTGTGCAACTTCTGCCTGTAAGCTTTACTCTTTCTTTCACAGAGTCAGTTGTTTTAACGCCATCATTTTCCTTATCTGAATGACTTTCACTCATACTCCTCTTCGAATTACTTTTTGAGCTACGCTTGGTTTGCTCTTTCTCTATATACTCCCTAGATTTCTTCATCAGGTTCTGAAGACTCATTACATATGGATCTTGGACTTCCTCATCCGACAGTGGCACTCCTAGCCCCTTTTGCAAAGCATGCGACAGAAGTTTATTACGCACGTTGTCAGGAGAGGCAGCCCTTGGACAAGGTACGTCTTTTGAGAACCGACTCTCACTTTGCTCTGAAAAAACATTTTCTTCTGCTGCTTCAACTACTTCTGTCACGTTTGATGTCACCTGCCCAGTAGTATCTGCTGGCATAAGTTCTGGTGTCTTTTCAAGCTCTGTGGGACCCTGCCTTTCAGGAGAACACGCCAGATTGACATCTGATAGAGCCGTGAAGTCAGTCGAAGCTTTTGAGTCTGAATCAGGGCAAGTATTCTCAGCCTCCTGTGCATTCATGTCACTCACACTAGGTCCTCTCCTGATCTGCAAATAAAAATTGAAAAAAAATCATGTATTTTCAATGAAATCTCCTCAGGTTCTCAGATTCTTGCAAGCTTCACCTGAATTAAAAAAAAAAGAATGCTACCACCTCAAAACCAATAAAAATTTTCAGTTCGACTGTTATCCATTTCCTACAAATTGCTTACAATACAGAGCTCTTCGCAATGAGAAAGAGGTTATTGGAATTAAAATATAAATTTCAACAATGGTCCGCTCAGCATTTTTACTCATACCAAGTATCTGAATGCAAAGATGCTCTTTTCTTCATAAGGTAGTTTGGATATATTCAAATAATTTTATGGCTTCAAATTATCTTGCAAGATTCCTCTTAAAATATGAAAGCATGTTTATATTAAATAAGAAATGCAAGTGAAAAATTCCAGCATGAAATATAGTGTAACCTATAGACAACTAAGAACAAATCAATAAAATTCCTAATAAAAATAGTGGAACTATAAAAGAATTTGTTCATTTCTTTACTAATCCAGAGGTAATTAAATACGAGTTTTCATTTGTCAAGTACTTGGAAAACCAACTTTATTTTAAGTGAGAATTACATGCTGCTTCTAGCCAGCATTTGTTTAAAAGGATTTTCACACTAAAATTATCCTATAGGTTATCCTATTTGTTGCAACTCAATTACCAATTATACCTTTGTGGGGGGGGGGGGGGGCGGGTTTTTTGTCAT